CAGCAGGAAGGTGCTGGATAAAATTTATCACATGATTACTGAAGACTTCTGTATCTCTTCCCTTAAACTGTTCAAGTGAAGCCGCATTATGAACCGGTAAAATTCAAATCCATAAACATACATTTCTCGGCATTAACAACTACCAAGAAAACGACTAATCGCAAAAACCCTACATGAGTACATCAATTATACCTCTCTGGCGCAGGACGACTCAGAGAACTCTTTCTTCACCTCTGTTAATTCCTTCCACTTGGTCATGGCCACCCGCGATGAGCTGCTCGCGGCATGCGCATCAAACCATTGTCTTTGAAGCTCATTCATCAAGCTCTTCTGCGTCCAGTAAAGGCGACGGAGTTCCCGAACCTAAGCATAAGAAAAACACAAGCGCTCAATTTCGGAATTAGTAACGTAAGATACAACGGCAAGAAGCGTAAATTTTCAAACCTGATTCCTAAAAATAAGTTCATGCTGAAGCATTGCCTGCTTCAAGCTCTCCATCCCCGAATACCCCCGAGCCAAACAATTCTGATTCCAATCGCCGGTCCTCAAAATCATCCGCTCACTGCCGATAAAACTGCCATTCATGCTCGCACATAGAATCTAAAACTAAAAGCTAAATCTAATTCCAACCATTAAACTCCGAGTCAGCAGATCGCCGCCCGTGTTAAATTTCAATCGTCAAACCTTAATCAATGCACAATTGAAAAGCCATGATCTCATCCGCAGGTGAAAAGAAAAAGGATAGTCGTGACTACGAGCAGGAAGCTCGGGCTATGTCTCCGAGAGATTCCCATCTGATCTCCGCCATGAAGAACGGAAGACAAAAAGGACGGAAAAAGAGGAGAAGAAAGGATTCTAAGGAACTGGAAAGCATGAGTTTCAAGATGTAAACTTTGAGGAGGGAACGAACTAATTGGCTCCTGGTTCAGTCATTTATCCTCTTTTTCCTACTATCTGCTGCCCAAAAAGAGCAAACATTCTCATCGTTGCAACTCCTTACGCAATTGACTGCACACTAGGAAATATGTTCTTAGAAGGAAATATTTTATATTATATAAGAGTTTTCACTACATCCTCCAATGCAATGTCTAATTTCCACAACCAAAATGTAAATTCACTTTGAAATATAAATCGTCAATTCAAATATGAAAATTCACATTAAAATCTAAATTTCATTGCCACAGTTTCCATTTTGACAATCCAAAATTTTAAGAAATTATAAATTTACATTTTATACAAGTCACTTCAAATATCTAAATAAGTTTGACTTATTTAAGAAACTTATGGTGTGAATGTTTCTCTTGTTTTATGTAATGTATATGTTTTTTAAATTTAAATTTAAGAAAAAAAAGTAATATTATTGGTAAAAATTATTACTAGAAATAGCTATTGTTGGGATTTTTAATTCATGAAGAGTTTCCATTGCTCTCCTACTAGTTTTGAATAACTCTTACACAGCCTTCATAAAAACTAATAACTTTTGATTTGTGTGTGTGTGTATATATATATAATAATAATTATATAAATATAAATAAATAAATAAAAATATATATACATACATACATACATAAAATACATTGAACTGAATGCGATAAGTGTAAGAAGGATATTATTTCAATTGATTGATTATATTATTAGAAAAAGCTTTCGTTGAGAGTTTTACTTACAAAAAGTTTCTGTAGCTCTCCCACTAATTTTGAATTACTTCCACTCAAAACTGGCGTGGATTTCTCACGTCTATGTAAATAATCTAAGCTAATTACATCCTCTGTGTGGAAGAAATATTACGTGTAGACACGGTAGGTGCGGTTGATACATATTTGGTGGTATTATGATGATATTATATTTGTATTATATGAATATTGTGGTAGTATTGACATGTTTTACTATTACAATACCACCACAATATCAAATATCCACACATACGTTATCCACAAATAATATTTTCTCGCTCGCGCATGTGTGTGTGAAAATAGTATTCTGACAACATAGTCAGGGTCACATTCTTAAAATTTGTGATTAAAAAAGGGTGAGTTATATGAGAAAAATTTACGTACTTAAGACGTATGCAGCGTTGCGTACATCATGGAGGTTATTCAGAGGGTATTATGGGGTTATATCCACGTTATACCCCCTGTAATCTCTCTATAACCTACTCGAACTTACAAATATATGAAAATAGAAACGCGAAACTTTCTAGAAGGTACATATAGGTTACAGTTAGGTTACAGGGATGTTACATGGGGTATAACGCGGATATAACTCCCTAATACCCTCTGAATAACCTCACCGACGTACGCAGCACTGCGTAAATACGTCTTATGTACGTAAATTTTTCTCCAGTTAGAGACACATCTTATGAAAACATGAATACAGCTCAAAACTGTTGCCGTCTAAGCACAGCCAACTCTGGCCTTTATTGGATCTGGAACTGCTATTAAGAAAATGCTGACCGCCACATAAATTATTACACACAAGCTAATGACATTAGACCTTCAGAGCCATATGTGGTAGTTTCATGCCGTTAATATGCCAAGTCAAAGTTTGAAACCAGAGCAGCAATTATCCAGAAAAACAATGACCAGACAAAATAGCAATGGAAGCTAAGGTTAGATAGCCCGTCAACTTCTGAAGTTGTTGGTGTGATGTTTTCTTGAAGGATAAAGTAATTATCTTTTTTGTCTGATTCTTCATATTACTCATGCGTAGGATTTGGAGAAGGAATAGTTAGGTTGATTTTAATATTTTTTTAAAATAAATGCAACATATGAAAAAAAAATCAATTTTTATATTATATTTATTTCAAAAATTTATTGTAATTAAAAGTTTATCTGAATATCATCTCCAATGTTTTTCTTTTATGATTAAAATTTTGTATTTACATGTCAAACAACTATGTTTTTTTTTTTTTTTTGTTGCAATTATTTATGAATATAGTAGTTTTAGTTATTAAATTTATTTTTTTTTCTTTTGTATTATTCTTAATATTTTATTTATTTAATATTGATATGACACAAATAAATTTTCATTATCTGAAATGAAACTCGATGCAATGTTTTGAACAATAAACATTCAAACTTCAATTATAAGTCACATAGAGCTTTGATTTCAGCGGACTTATAGTGAAACTGACAGACTCAATAAGAAGGACCCAATGATGTAAAAACTAGTCCAATCCGAGTCAGATCAAGCCTGGAATCAAATCATTAAATCATTCTTGGAGAATTTCTGGAGGGATTTGAAAGGTCAAACGAATGACGAATCTAGCGAGTTCATAGTCGAATCGAGCGTCTCGACAAGACGAATCCAACGAGCCCAAGATTGCTCAATTCCGACATCGTTAAGACACTCAAATGTTCATCAAACATCATATATA